TTATATTAGATATTATTTTTTTTCTAAAAGTCTCCTGAACATGTTAGTGAATCTTTTTAATTTTTGAGGAGGTTAAATTTAGGTCTAGAATTACTCCCCAGAGTTTGGCCTTTAAGAACAGAGACATCCTGTATAGTTATAAGTTTTTGTTCATTGGACATCCTAATGTTATTAATTTCAACTCAGGATAGGGTGGTAAGGGAAATTTGTGTGATGTGAGCACCGCAACAGACTTTTTCTACAATAAACTAAAGGAAATAAACATTTTTCTGTTTTTTGTAATAAGGAAGGTATTATCTAAACTCCAGCTGAAATAAATAGGTAGGTGAAGGGCGGGCAACGCTCTCCCTACACAGCCACCTTCCAATCTCTTAGCCGGGCTGCTACTGCTCTGTCGAAACGTCCGCTATATGTTTGCTTATAGACTGCTTGAGAGACTTAAGGCTTTGTGAACACTTACAATTTACAACGTCCCTTTGTCAAATCACACAGAGAGAAAATATCATTAAAAAAGAAATTGAACCATTGACTGTCATTACAAGGACGTATGCTGCACAATAAAAACAAACTATCACTTTCTAACAAAATTATTATATACAACATGTTATTTAGACCCATATACCACTTAGGTGTGGAGTTCATGCAAAAAACACGCTTACAGACTTCCAATCTAAATTTCTTTGATAAATCACTCATTGTCCCTGCTACGTAACTGATTTATTCGTTACTTCTTAAAGACCTACAAATATCACATGTGAATAAATTAATTAAGAAATATTACAAATATTTTCATGATTCAATTATTGGACATCCTAATCCACTTGTACAAACATTACTAACAGGCATCCTACCTCAGAATCCGAGAAGGAGACTTTAATGTCTCTGGAGCAAGGATCTGCTGTATTAAGAACTTGACGTTAGGAGTGCCTTCACAGGGAGGTTTCTGGAATCAAGTTTTCATCTTAATCAAGGAGGAGAACTCCGGGAAGAGCACATTTACAATATATAGCAACATTTTTCCCAAAAAAATTAGTACAAAATTTTCATTAAATAAATTGAAGATTATTAAATTATTTCCTTTAATAAAAAAATATTTTTTATCAAAACTTAAAACATTACATTGTCGAAATAACTTCTAATATCAGTTTTCTATTGAAAAAACGCTGTAAATTATTTCACAATGGTTTATTATATTCAAACAATTATACATCTAAAGTAACATTACCTTCTGAGTTACAAAGAAAACAAAACAAAAGATGATTCCAATTATTGGACTAAACTGTTTTTCTTTAATCATTAGTAATATGCTAAAAAAAAAAAATAGCATTAGTTCAGTAACATATTCAAAATTTAAAAACCAAACCAAGGATATAACATTTGTAGTAGAACACATTAAAAAAAACGGGAGACCATATCTTTGCTCCTAATTGTCCGATTTTAACGATTTTTTTTTTTTTTTAGGAAATTTCGTAAACTTTTAAAAAACTGTATACAATATCAAGAAAAATGTAAAAACTTTTCGAGTTATTCGGAATTTAATTTTACCATCCCTCGTAACTTTTTTTCCAGCTTCTTTTCGTTGAAGTATGTCATATAGATAAATTTAAAGGGCGTCGAGAAAATGACTTTAGCGAAGTTTTATAGAATTCTGTACATTCGTTTAGGAGCTACAGTCTATAGCAACGCAGGTTTTTCGGTTGCCATTTTGAAAGTTAAAGGCGGAGCGTAATGAGAGGAGGATCATCCTCGGGTGACCTCTGATTTTATATCCAAATTTGGAAAAAATCGGTCCAGTAGTTTCGGAGAAAATGCGCGGGTGGCGGACGGCGTATGGTTGGGGGCGGGGTGGCCGAATAGGCTAAAGCGTGTGTAACAGCACCGCTAGTTGCCTGGCAACCGGATAACAGAGATTTGAGATGATATAAAAAGTACGAGTTCGCGTCCCGGTGCCGGAGGGGATTTTAAATTCCCCGCCCTCATCCCTCACCAAAAAAAAAAAAAAAAAAAAAATTGCTGCATGAGTCGTTCCGAATGGAAAAGGAGTCAAGACCAAATTCGTGTTTTTCTTAAGGTTGTCATGGTTTTTCTTGAATAAGAAGGAATTCCTCAAAAACTGTTCAAAATAATTAAATTATAAGTACAGCATCGTAGAGTAGATAACATTTCTTTGATAAAACATTGATTAAATTTACTAAGGTCAGTGATATAGGAGGTTCCAGGAGGTCTGATACGGTCGCTGCTCTGCTCGAGTTACACTACCCATATTCGAGCAGCACACCTCTGTATTCCCAATTCGTGAAATAATTTGGCATTATGGCAGGTTGTGCGTTATTAGATCTCCTGAAGTTTCTTTTATCATTGACCTTAAAAAAAAAAAAAACACAAAATTGCTTGAACTCTTTTTTCCGTTCGGAATCGGGGCATATGCATAAAATGAAATTTTTGTTGAAAATTCCGTAGAAAAGAACTGAGGCACCATGCGTATGGTGGGGTATTTTTTATTTTTGTATCATTTTTGGTTCATTTCAATAATAAAACTTTATCAAATAGTAAGTTTTTAGCAACAAAATTTGAAGTTTTATGTTTCAATAATGACAAAAACAGCGTGATTTCCTTCCGCCTTTCCTGATCAATTTGGCATTAGAATATGCCGTTAGGGAGGTAATGCGTACGTTATTGTTATACGTTACGCTTATGATAACGTAAGAGTTGGATCTGGGTGGGACAACACCCGTGATTGGCTATGCGGATGATCTGGCCCGGTTATACAAAATATAGAATAGAATAGAATAGAAAATAACTTTATTCTGGGACAAAGTCCCTTTAGAATAACAAAATAGAACATAATTAAAATACTACATCTGGCCAAAATAAACAATAATAAAAAAAGAGAAAGTAAAGAAAATGTTAGTTAAACAAGCTATATACAAAAAAAAAAAAAAATCTAAATACAAAACACTTAAAACTATGATAAAACATTTAAGACTATGTACAGTAGGAAAAATTATAATAATACTCTATTGAAAAATGAAATAATAAATAATAAATTGAATTCATCTTTAAAATGAGGTGTGTTTCTGCTAACAAAGAAAAGACAAAGCTGACAATGTAAAATATCAGTGTGTTTAAATGATGATTAATGTGTAGACTCATCATTGTCAAATGCTAGAGGTACCGATTTAATTAAATACCAATAAAAAATAATAATAAAAAAAACAAAAAAAAAAAAACAATAGATGTGGTCAGTGGCATTAAGAGCCGGAAGATATTGTAATATCCCTAGTGAAGTTCACAGTATAGAATAGTACTATCATTTGATGATGACTAGAATATCGAAAGTTTAGCAAGTACCTGACTGTTTTTGGAATAGGAATTGGAATAGGAGGGATTTGAATGTGGATATGGAGGGGGAATGCCGAATTTCGATAGGTAGAGAATTCCAGAAATTGACAGCGCGAGCTATAAAGGAATTCTGAAATGAGGCAGATCTAATATATGGAGATTAGCTGCAAAAATGGCGATACTGCTGGTGATATCGAAGAATATTTTCAAGATATTAGTAATGAAAGTATCTGTGATTTTTTTTTAAATATTTATTTATTGAATAATATAACAATCTGTCACACGGCCTTTGGTTATAAGAAAGTAAGATAATATTCATACAATATGTATAAATAAATATATAAAATAAACAGAAGGAAAATAACTAAATACTAATCAAAAACTATATACAATAAATAAAATGAAATTACTTAAAAATAAATAAATTATAAAAAAAACGTATACATACCTATTTCCAACTATCTCCTCCAGGAGATCCCTGCGCTACACACCCAACCACTTCATTGGTACTAAAGCCATTGGAGATTGGTCGAGAGCGCTGTGATTTTAAATATTTCAATTTCTGTATAGGGTTTTATTTCACTAAATTATTCTTGTGTGGAAACTGCTTTATAAGTATCGGATTTCTTTTCACCTCCCAGCAGCGAAGTATTTTGAGCAGCCGAGAGTCAAAAAAAATATATATACTAGATATAACCTGTACCACTACAACCCATGAAGGGTCTTGGGTGCAGTACTATGTGAGGAAGTACTGTTTCAAGGCCAACTGTTGTGCAGGGAGATGATAGGGCCGATATCACGCTCAACCGCCAGATTTTCTCCCTCAATTATTTTTTTAATTAAGGGTTCCCATTTTATAGAGGCTGGGTGTGCCCCAGGAGGGTCTCGCGATCCCAGGATCGATCCACGGCTAATGAAAAATTCACGGCTAGTCATTAACTGGATTCGAACCCAGGGCCTTAAGCTCTGGAAGTCAGTGCTCACCAACTGAGCTACCCCGCTCCCTACTAGATATAATAGACCTATATTGAAACTGACGTTACTCAGTGGACGCGGAATACGATCAACAACTTTTATTCTACAGTTTTTTCTCTTAGGAAACTCATTTCCAAGCTACAGGGTCATTTATAGTAATTTGTCTCAGTTGTATTTATTTCCGTGGTTATCGATCATAAGACTTAACCAAATTATTAGTTCGACCCATAATTTAACGTTCTTTAATTTCCTAAAGAGTACATTTTTCGATTCGATGCTCCATTTAGGATTTAGAGCTGAAAAAACAGAACGAGAGTAAAACGTTGATTGTCATGTCGGCTTTAGGGTACGGTATTCTTTTACTAGATGAAATTGTGGAAGAAGAATAGTGTCTTCTTCACTATTATTTTACTAATTGAATTATTTTAGTATGTATATATTAAAACTTCTATAATATTTCTTCAAAATTTCAAGAACCAACTTGCTTATCTTGAAAGGAGTCATTTATCTTAAGTTGCCTCGAAGATATTCCTATCCTGGAGCAGACTATATTGAATTTGCGGTTCGCAGACTTGACAGACACTCTTCCAGACTCAGAGGACCCCGCAGACGGTGGTAGGGGAACAGTTGACGTCACTGGAAGCCGATATAAGGCAGCGACAGCCCAGCGAGTCCAGCAGTTAAAGATGTTCTTCGTCCTCTGTATCTCTGTCGTCCTCGGCTTTGCGGCGGGACAGTTACGTACGTATCATTGTATATATCAACAATAATAATTATGTATATATCAACAATAATAATTAGGTATATATCAACAATAATAATTATGTATATTTCAACAATAATAATTATGTATAAATCAACTATAACAATTATGTATATATCAACAATAATTATTAAAATATTATTACAACTATATACTCCGATTTAAATATATTATATAGTATTTACTTATATAGGTTTGCCGACAAATTTTTCTTCCTAATTTAAAAATAAATTCTGTTAATTATAATTTTTTTAAGAATGAAAAAAATTAATGATTGGCCGTTCAATTTGAAGATCTTCTTCTCCTTCACGTAAAACTAATGTTCACACCCTTCCGAAATTTTAGGAGAAAAAAGTTATACAGAAAAAGAAAATTTATTTTTGAATAATTCAAAAAGTATAAATTTTTTCTTGATTGTGCCGTTGTTTATTTGAATTATTAATAAATTCTCTACAAAAAAAAAAAAATAAAAATCAACTAGAAATATCTTATTTTGGAAAAATTTCTATCGACCAAAGGAGCAAATTGGATTCAAATATTGTTTTAATGAAAAACAGAGTTGAAAATTGTATTTCGCACTTCGAAAAACCACTTAAAAACGAACTTTTATAGCAATTGAAAAATATTTTTTTTTTTGCACCAAATCCCTAGTAGATTTTTTTTTTCTCGAATATCACAAAAAGTGTGATAACTTCAACATGTTTCCACCTATTCACATAAAAAGCCAACAAAACATATAAATTCCCTAAAAAAACAAAAAACAATCATGAAAATCAGATCATTTTTTAGCAAAAATGCAACCTATGGGAATGTACGCATATTTTTGTTTATTATCATGAATACAATAATGTGATCCCACTGAGAAAAATAATTTCATTTATGTAATAACACATTGCACATTTATCTAATAACTTATTTCTATATTTGTTTAGTCCAGAAAAACCTTGGTTTGTGATTCTCTCACATATTAAGAATATATAAATTTATTATTGAAAATATAAAAGCCCTATCGATTTTATTTTATTAAAAAAAAAAAAATTGTTTCTGTAATAATTCTAACCACACAGACATAAAATCTGTATTTATATTTTGTTCTAAAGGGACAACAGTCCCAGAATAATAAAATATTTTTCATTTTTCATTTCATTTCATTTCAATATTCGAAGTGTCCAATGGATCATATAGATAATATAGATTTTATATTATATAAAAATATAACTTACCGCTTACCTTTCCTAAAGATTTTTAGTTCGTTGAAGATTATCATAAATAGCAATTATTTTTAAAACTTAAACCATGAGATGTGTCCCCAGAACAACCATATCGTTCGATAAAAAACGAAAACTAAAATAAATCAAAGAATGTTTTTTTATTTATTTAGAAATATAATACTCTGTCACGCGGATAATAATTATAGTGAGATATGACCACATTCACACTACATATACAAGGAACATAAAATTAAATAATAACTAAATCAAAAACAAACAATTATGTACAATAAAAAATAAAATAACCCTAAAGATAAGTATATTAAAAACATAAAAACTCAGTCATACCTATATACAATATGTACAATCAGGTAGGGAACCCCAAGCCCCCTCCAATTATAGAGGGAAAACAGGAATCCAAGAGATCCCTGCTCTACTCTCTCAACCACGTCACAGGTGCTAAAGCCAGTGGAGATTGAGCGAGAGCGCTTTAGCCACATACACTATGAGAGAAAAATCTGGCCATTGTCAGAACTCCAAGATATATACTACAAAATATTTTTGGGAAATTGCCACTTCAACCTTCGAGGAGGATTGTAGGGATGAGTAAAACTAGATAGGGATTGTGCAAGCGGATTTGGACGATTTGTAAGGTTCTGATAATTTTTCAGAGATAAAGTCTAGGACAAATGTTAAGGTCATGATGTAGGGTTTTGTTGGTTGACCAAAGAATTAAGATATATTTCGAAAATTTTACATTTTAAGGCTTTAAAACTCCGGGTCCAATATGTTCCATTCGATGTCCGGGTAAAAAATTTTAAAACAAAATTTATCTCGTCTCGATTCGTTATCTTTGAAAACATTTGAGTTTTAAAGTCTCTCAATTTTATCAATGGCTTATTAAAGTTGTTTAAAGAATTTAAGGACCTGTATTGCGGTTCGTCACTTTTCCAAGTAATTTCTGATAAATGATTAGCTGATCCCACTGGAAAATATACAGTAAAAAAATAAGACAGCTATGTTTGAACTAACTTTCTATTATTGTACACGCTCAAGATCTATTTGGTGTAGAACAGCTGATTCTCTCACATACTAAGGATATAGAAATATATTACTAAAAACATAAAAGAACTATCGATTTTTTTTTTATTTATTAAAAACTAGGAGATACCCTCTGTCCGCCTAACGGCAAACCAACCTCCATTTTACAAATTATACAACTGTTCATTTAATTGAACTACTCGTTACTCAAATTGTATAACTTTAATTTACGTGTATTCTATAGTTCAGATTGTATTATTTTTTATAAACATAATCAAAATAAACTGAACGAAACCATAGTTCGGAAATTTTTTTAAAAAATCTATATTATACATCGCGCCTCATTGACAATTTATATTATTATATAACTAGTAGGCCCGTGCTAAAAATTCGCACAGCATATAGTTATCAAATGACAAATTAATAATAAAATAAAATAATGCAACGCATCAAAAGATAAAGGAATCAATTGTTACTTTATTCATAAATATAATCGACAAAGGGAACAAAATTAATTTAAATCTTCATTTTTGTTTGGAACCAACATATTTACAAATTTCAATAAGCTGTATCTTTGCAAAAAATTGTCTAATTTCAATGATTTTTTTCCCCTTTTGTAGACAATTTAGTAATGTTTTATATAATGATGAGTATGGCCAAGGGAAAAGTGTGTAATTTTTTAGTTATTCGCAAATAAAGTTTCTTTTCTTTCATAACTTGTTTGCCTGAATTTTCGGGGTGATTGGACTATTTTGCCCGCCTAAAGGAGAAGGAAGCCTTCGAAATTGGTGGCTCAATCTTGAGATTTGGTGAAGAATTAACGATGGTATGGCTTGCCGATTAAAAACACCATCGATAAATAATATAAACTCCTCCTATCTCGATCATAGATACCTCAAGTTGACGAAATGAGACATGTATCCAATGACAGTACTACAATTAACGTCAGGTTGCGTGGATGCGAATCCCATGTCTTGCGTTATCTCGAAAATGGTACGTTTTGGGGCTTGAAAATGCAGGATCCGATAGTTCCGAAGGAATCAAAATCTTCAAAGTCCAATTTGTCCCGCATCGATCTACAGACCTACCACCGTTCCAGTATTGAAGCCTAGCAAAATGTTTGTATCGACTTTATTTATTTTAGAAAGAAAAACAAAAGCGGAGAATACGATTCGCTAACCCCCCGTGAAATTCTGAATCCAACGGTACCCCATTCATGGTATTTGAGCATGACAGGAGCTTATATTTGGTACAAAACCGATTTCGAGCCTTACTGTAATAATATATGTGTGGATTACAATTATTCTTATTGCCAATTTGTAACTATAATACATATTTAACTTGTCTAATTTAAGACTTTTATTTATAATATTTTCATTGTTCGTTATATTTGGTTTCCTTTTCTATTTATTAATAATTATAATTATATCACAATATAATATAATAATTAATATATTGTATTCAAAGGGATACAATAATATGTCTAGGTCGAAAAATAACTGCTGTCCTACGTAAAATCAAACTACCACTTCCAGATGAATAAATAAAACCATTTCTCGTACAAATTTGTAGTCAAAAATCTTTTTTTTTTATTAGGAAAGTATTAGGTAACAGAAGCTCAACATATATGTAATTCAATGAATATCTAGGAGAGTTCCTGTAACCTCTTACTCTCCTAATACTAAAATAAAATAAAATATGACATACACTAAAAACTTTTTTTATAAAATAGAGAGATATCAAAAAGTTTTTTCTATATTATCCAAAGTGTCCAAGGCTATAACTCCATTTAGTTTTTCAATAGATTTTTATTTCGTCGAAGACTATCATAAAGAGTAATATTTTAATTTATAAAACTTAAACAGACGATAAGCATTCTATGCTAATCATATCATCTTTTACCTCGAATACCACGATTTATCTCTAAAACGGTAAATTTTAGGGTTTTAAAACGCAGGATCCGGTTTTAAAACCTTATTTTTTTTGTATAACCTTTTTTGTAATATTACTAACGTTTTAATTTTAAAATTGGGGTTTACTTATCCATGAAATATTCTTTCGTTTAATACCTCATCGATGAAACTCCATCGCTCCTGAGAGCCGGAAAATGGATCTACGAGTATACTATAACGTATTATATATAGTGTACATTTATAATTAACAATTATTAATATGACTTTAAAAGAATATGTCTATAATGAATTAAAAATACTTATTACATTCAATCTTTAATTAACTAGGAGGAACTTTTCCGAGTTACTTGAAATAATTATTCTAAAACAGTTCTAAAGCTTATGTAAATGCTTGCCCCTAAATAGCGGACATCTTATGTTATCTCCAACTTCCTCCAGTTTTCCAGTAATTAACTATTATCAGATTGAAGAAATTGATAAGAACCATCTTAGGACTTCTCCGACTACTTTAGAGAGTTGAGTAGATTTTATCTTCATCTTCTAGATCAGTTCTATAGAGTGCTATCAATGGGAAGTTTCTCTACTTGAAACATTACAAGTCATTATATTTCTTCACATTTACTGGTTGTGTTTTTACTTTAATGCAGTTGTGGATTTCATGAATCAATAAAAATAAAAAAATCACTTCTTCAAGAGCATTGAATGAACGAATGAACCTCTTGGACATTATATCCTAATCTATCGAACGGTACATCACTCGTAATGAATTAAATCCTTTGATAGTAGGACCATTGAGGAGAGCACCCTAACTTG